AAGCCGGATACAGGCTTACTTGTCACCTGGTGATGACGGAGCATGGAGACAGCTTAACGGCTAATTGAGAAGCCAGGCAGCGAGTCATAACACTCCACCTGGCTTCCTTAATGGGACTTCCGATATCGGTATTCAGTATCGGCGAGTACCAGAAACAAAATATCGGCACTCGATACCAAAAAACTGGTATCAGTGCATCCCTAGTGTTATGTATTACAATGGTACCCAAATATTTATTTATGTTCCACTTTTAGTCATCAGCAAATTTTGAAAGGAAAAGCATGTATTGTTTATATGACAGAATGTACAGTATATGTTACTGAATGGATGGTAAAGGGTATATGTACGGGAGCATATATGTCTGTGGGCACCATTGTAGTAAGTAACACTATCACATCTCTCTGGGAGAGTCTTTTTTTATGTATGGTTTTATATGATGTTAAAAAAATTTAACATTTGATGTTAACCTTCAGTGACACCTTAAATATCCTATGGCATATTTGGGGGTGTATTTATAAAAGGATCATAGAGCTGTTTGCTCTGCAAACATCTGACTTTTAGATTCACACTGCATTATGGCCACCAGATGAAGCAGATGAATTTCCTATGCTCCTTGCCTCCATCTAAAGGCTTCAGGTCTGCAAAACTTTTACAAATACACCCCATAATCTGGCAGCTCACTTTAATGTTTGGTATGTGGTGCAATGATCTACCACCAACCTAGGGACAAGCTTAAATATGTATTGAAAATAATAATAGTTCACATTTTGCTTTATTTTCAGCTTCAGAAGGTTCATTAGCCATCAAAGTTGGAAGCGTGCTGCATTCACTCCATACATGAAATGAACTGTTCTCTAAAGCATTTCTTGTACTACAGTGTGTAAAGTCCTGGTTTGGTCTATGCCATAACAATACATGCAATGCTATAGTCTTATGATGATGATCTCCTGTCTGACGAGACTCTACCCAGGAGATTTTATGTTCTGTTACATACAAAACACCGAATTATTCATCCAATGGCTCGTATGTCAGCCTGTGTTTGTGATCAGGTTATAATTGCCCACAGAGGTCCTGTGTGTAATCTGAGCACTGCAGCAACAAGGGTATCTCTGTACTGTAATCAGCTAGCCGGGAGGAATCTGCAAAGGCAATCATTGCGTCATTTCTTTTAGAACCAAAATTGCGCATTTTTGGTGACAACACACTTTAAGGATCACCTGAAGAACGTGTGTATTGTGCATTTTTTTCAAGCGATTTTGTGCCTACCAACCGTCTCCTCCTGGTAACTAGCTTTCCACTGGATACAATGCCAAAAATGAGGAATCCTGAACTCTTGCATCTTTAAATAACTAAAAGGAGAAGAGTGGAAAGAGAAAACTATTCTCTCCCTGCTACTTAGAGGCAGCGTGGGACAATACAACTGTCATGAGCCAGCTCGATATACCGAGAGCTGAGTGATCATATAACCACCGATTGGTCAGCCCATGGCCTCCCCTCTGCAAAGAGTGGGGACTGGCAGTCATTGCCCCAACCACAGGGATTCCCCTCCCTTCTCTGTTCCCCGGCACTCATTTGAAGGAGAGACAGGGGAGGAGGCGGGCACAGCTGACTGTGGCTCTAGAGAGGAGGAGTCAGCTGACAATCAGGCAGCAGGGTGGATCCCGACAATACTGTTGGGATCCTTCCTGACTGCGGCGTTGATCTTCCCGGTCAACTGATAGCAGGCAGTAGCCTGCTATATGGTGAGTTTGGGTCACAGAAGTACATTAGTAGATCTACTCCTATGACCTAAAAGAGGTTTTACATTACTTCTTTTTTAAGTTAGCCAACAAAGGGTATCGCTTAAAAAAGAACTCCAGGCAAAAATGCTCTTAACCC